CTTAACCAACTGAGCCACCCAGGCGCCCCTCAACATGTTTTGATGAAATCAGATTATGCTCTCCCCATAAGAAAACATAATTAGAAGTTCTTTTGAAAACATGTAATCAGGATGAAGGGGTTAGAGAAATTGAAAAGGACAACCTTTTGTGTTTATCTCAATGGGAATGGTTTTGCAGAGAGAGCAAAATACCTGAATCCCATTAGGTAAAATGCTCTCATCCCTGGACACATGGGTATACCAATGTCTCTACCCTTAGTCTCCTCTAGTTCTCTGTAGGTTACTAGTATCATTCTATTTGATACATTCTTTCTTTATATGAATACATTCAATTTTTGTCAAAGAATGTCTTGACCTTGGAGTATTGTTTCGTAGGGAGACTTTACGTAACTCCTCCCTGGACTGTTATGAGTTAATCTCAACTTTAACTCTCCAACAGTGATACTAGTTTCTTTAAAATTAATGGCACAATAGTGACTTGTTACTTTTTTTTCCTGTTATTTATTTTTTTAAATAGGCTTCTTACCCAACATGGGGCTTGAACTCACAACCTGAGATCAAGAGTCACACACTCTACCAACTGAACCACCCAGGCACCCCAGTAACTTATACTTCTTAAAGAAGTCCTTATTGTATCCCCTGTATATGAATAACAAATGAAATTTAGTAACAAACCTTACTAAGTTACTCCTAAAAATGTAAATGAGCAGGAATTGAAAGTCATCAGACTAATAATCTTTATTAAGTTGTGGAATATAACTAATATTTAAGCTTGTATTAAATATTAAAATATTAAATGTTTTTTTCATCATGCTATCTTGTCAAGAAAATGTTAACAAGAATAGGTTCCGTAATTTTAAGTTTCTTCTTTTGCTGGTTAAAAGATTCAGCTTAAATTTAGTTTTCCTCTCCCAGATTCCTAAGTTAAATAAAAATGTTTAAATATGGAATGAAAAACCAGTAAAGGTGCAATGAATTTACAGAGATGGAACAATGTAGAGAAAGATTAAAAAAAAATCTGAGTCAGGGAAATACCTATTCCTGAATGATGTATTTAACTTGTTTGTTTTAATTTTATCTCCTCCCTCATCATCATTCTAAAAATAAAGTTGCTTCTGGTGCCTGGGTGGTGCAGTCGGTTAAGCATGGGGCTCTTGGTTTCGGCTCAGGTTGTGATCTCAGGTTCTTGAGTTCAAGCCCCATGTGGGGACTCTGTGCTCAGTGTGGAGTCTACTTAGGGTTCTCTCTCCATCTGCCCCTACCTACCCACCCCTCCTCTAAAATAAATAACCTTTAAAAAAATAAAAATAGAGTTTTTTCTTATGCTGTTCTTGTAATGTCTTTCATATTAAAAGGTAGTCTCACAATTACTTTATTTTAAACAACAGAATACTACTTAGGTAAGACATGTTCTTCTAGAATGACCTCAATCAAAACCCATGCTCATTTTGAACGAAACCATCAGTTGTAATTCAAAAACAAGTCAAAGGAATTTAACAAGTTTGAATGATTTTTCTCCTAAAATGTGAGTATCTCCGTTGCAAATAGGTGCATAATATTTTAATTAAGTTCTTTGAAGAACACTTGATAGAACTGTTTTGGGATTTATTATTATATAATAAGTGGTTTATATTTTGAGATCACATATTCACACTTCTAAGACAAACTTTTAAAAAAAATGGTCTTAATGTTATACGCATAGGATCAAATCTCCAGGGGCAGTATCAGTCCTAACTTGAAAAGGTGCTCTTTTTCACAACACAGATAGAAGTGAAGATGATGTATCCTTAAAAATGTGTTAGATGGCTCTAAAAATTGCCCTTATTTTTGACAAAGCCCATGACATTAAAGATGCATTTGCAAAGATTGACTACAATTTTTAATGAAATGCAATAGTAGGAAAAAATAAATATTTTTAAATGAATATATTTTAATAATAATGATGAACAATTATGCAAACTTTAACATTTGATTTGTCCCCTGATGACTGGCACCTCTCAAAGTCTTCATCATCTCAGGAATTGCCATCTTCATTTTTATACTTGCTCAGGTCCTGGACCTCGGGGAGTCTTGAATTTTCTCCTTCTTTCATACCCTCCATCTATCACAAAACCCCACTGACTGTACATTCAAGAGATATTCGGAATCCTACCATTTCTCCTCATCACTTTTGGGCTTATGCATGTCCAAGCATCCACCAAGTCTTGCCCAGATTACTGCAGCAGACTCTCACCTGGTCTCCCTGCTTTTACTTTCACTCTTCCCCTAATAATCTAATGTAATGTAGCAGCCAAAGTGATCCTTTTATGTGTTTTTTTAAAGATTTATTTATTTATTTTAGAGGGTAGGGGCAAGGGGCAGAGGAAGAGAAAGAGGGAGAAAGAGAATCTCAAGCAGATTCCCTGCTGATTGTGGAGCTCGATGCAGGACTCAGTCTCACGACCCTGAGATCATGACCTGAGCTGAAACCAAGAGTCAGATGCTTAAACGACTGAGCCACCCATGCGCCCCACCAAAGTGATCCTTTTAAAACAGAAGTCAGATCATGTTAATTCTCTGCTCAGAATAACTCTGTGAACTATTTCTCTCAGGGAAAAACCAAACTGTTAGACATGGTCTGCAAAACCCTTTTGTTCTGGCCCACCTCTAAGCCATCTGTCCATTGCCTGGTACACTTGCCCTCACTTTCAAAGATGCAGCCAGGAAGACCTCCTTACTTTTTCTCAACATAGCAAACACAATTCCACCTATGAACTTTGCAGTTGCTGTTTCCTCTGTCAAGAATGTTCTTTCTGGGGAGCCTGGGTGGCTCAGTTGGTTAAGCGACTGCCTTCAGCTCAGGTCATGATCCCAGGTCCTGGGATCGAGCCCCACATTAGGCTCCTTGCTCAGCAGAGAGTCTTCTTCTCCCTCTCCCTCTGCTGCTCCCCCTGCTTGTACTCTCTCTCTGTCAAATAAATAAATAAAATCTTAAAAAAAAGGTTCTTTCTCAGAAACCCAATTTATTCTCTCCCTCATCAATTATATCTCTGATCAAATGTCTTGTTATTAGAAACTTCTCTAGTCATCTTTTTTTTCTTTTAAAGATTTTATTTATTTATTTGACAGAGAGAGACACAACGAGAGAGGGAACACAAGTAGGGGGAGTGGGAGAGGGAGAAGCAGGTTTCCTGCCGAGCAGGGAGCCCGATGTGGGGTTCGATCCCAGGACCCTGGGATCATGACCTGAGCCGAAGGCAGACGCTTAATGACTAAGGCACTGAGGCTCCCCCTTTCTCTGGTCATCTTATAGGAAAATAGTATATTGCACATTTCCTGTCTGAGACCTGAAATTATCCAATTATCCAAGTAGCCCTCATTCCTTTTAGTGGGAGATGGATAGAGAGATCAGAGTTTGGACAAAGGATTGCCATTCCTAATAGGTTGATAATTGTTTCTATAATTTTCCAATAAACAGTACTAGAAAATATGTATGTGTATTCTATCTATCTATCTATCTATCTATCTATCTATCTATCTATCTATCATCTATCATCTATCTATCTATTATCTATTATCTCTCTATATAAATATAGACATGCATGGAGAAGATATACATATATATTTTAAAAATAAAATATCTGATTTTTACATGAAATTTCTACTCATATTCAGTATAACTTAACTTTTCCTTTTTATATGCATATCTCCTCTCCCCCACATTGAGCATCCTGAATTCAAGGATACTAGGGATGATAAAATTAGAATTGTTGATTTTATCCTACATTACACACACAGCATCTTTAGAATAATAATACAAACATTAGCACCAATTTAGTTTAAAAAAGAGTTTTTTTGCAAATGCTCTACCCATTCTGTCCTGTTTATTCACCGTTGTAGTATACCCAGTGTCAGAACAGGCAGCCAGCACATTCTGTACTCTCTTCTTTATGTCCTCCATTGATTTTGATTCTATAGGTAAATCACTAATCTCTAATCTTTACCACCAGTCCTATGTCAAGGTCTTTGCAGTCATTTTGGTTGTCTGAAGGTCATTATTTAGCAAATTTTGAGTTAAGACTCATCAGAGAAACATTACCTGAGACCTTGCATGCTGATGACAAATTTTCTGCAAACTGTATACTTGACAGTAATCTTGACTACATATAAAGTCTTTATCATTTCTTTTTTCATTTCTTTTGATTTATAAAATGTTTCTATTTTTTAAAAAAATCTTCTATTTCCCTTAAGATACTCCCTAGTTATTTGCTCCTCATTCTTTATTTCAGACACAATTGCTTTTTTTAAATTTCTAATTCTTCCCTGATTCTATCAGCCCATTTCTTAGTTACACTGTTCTTTCATATTTTTATTTTATTTTATTTTGTTTTTCTAAAGATTTACTTATTTATTTTAGAGAGAGAGATAGAGAGGATGCAAGTGGGGGGAGGGGCAGAGAGAGAGGAGAGAACCTCAAGCAGACTCCCCACTGAAAGCAAGCCCCATACAGGACTTGATCTCATGACCCTGAGATCATGACCTGAGTGAAAACCAAAAGTTGGATGCTCAACCAAATGAACCATCCAGGCACCCCATTTAAAAAAAAAAAAAAAAGATTTATTTATTTGAGAAAGAGAGAGCTTTCATATTTTAGATGACTTTTCCTTTGTCTTTTTATCTATTTTGATGTACTGATGTTTTGTGGTCATTTCTTCCAATCTGCCTCCATTGTCTTTATGGATGTTATTTATTTTGTCTCTTAGTCTGTCTTTCCTTCTTAAAATAATTTTGGATGGGAGTCACTTTTGTTGTATTTGTGTTTATGAAATTGATTTCATTAAAGTTTAAGATAGCATTTCTAACTTGCATCTAAATTTCTCTCATTTGTTGTTTTTATGAAGAGTTGAAGAATATAGCAATTTATGTCATGAGAATTCCTAATTGATTCTCTCCTTCGATGTATTCTGCCTCCTTTTTCTTTTGCCTCTATTGTTTCCATTTTGAGTTTTAGTCATAGACATTTCTCCTGAGCATAGATTATTGTCATGGAAAAGAGATTAGACTAGTTCCCAGAGTTCATAAGATGTAGAATGCTCTACATCTTTGGGCCTTATCGTAGACACCCTGTTCTCACTCAATCGTACACCATCCTAGTTTTGCTGCTATTCTCAAAATGATTTGTTGACCTTTCATGTAAGGCCCTGTTGGTTATTTGGTAGTTCTCAAGTTTTACTAGATGCCTTTTTCCTTGCTTCTCCTATTGTCATGCAAACATCAGGTATCAGGGTCCATCTGCCCCTTCATACCTTCTTGCATTTTGGTAATCATGTGGGTACATTGTCAATTTTTTTCCCTGTAGATACTGTCCATGTCTTTTTGTTTGACTATCCTAGTTGCTCTATATGTTTGTTCTCTTTCCAGAATTCTCCTCTGACTTTAATTAACTGAATTAACTGATATCAAAATTATGAGGAGAAAGAAAAGAACTACAAATCTAGAAAAAATATGAGGTTTTGTTCAAAAGTTGTGTAATTAAAAAAAAAGTTGTGTAATTATGGATGTCTGTGAGCATCTTATTTATATATTGATTGATGTTATTTAATCATAAAACATCACCGACCAAAAGATTGGAATAAATTTGCTCCCATATATGGAAAGTAAAGTAAAAATCTAGGGAGCTCCACTACTGTTCAACTACTGGCCTATTTTTGTTCTTGTATTTGCATAGGGGGTTGAGGAGGGACTTGTTGTGAAGTCTGACAGAATAATGGAATGCCTGCATAGTGTCTTTATGTCTTCTCTCTTACCTGTGAGAAACACACTTTGTGTTCTGAGCTTCCATACTTTTTATTTTATTTTATTTTATTTTATTTATTTTATTTTAGCTTCCATACTTTAAGTTTTACAAAGGCATGCCCCCAGATGAAGGGGGTGGGCCACTTTGATGTGTGATGTTTCAGGTCTGACCATAAGCAATTATAAAGACTTAACCTGGCAGGCTTCATGGAGGAGAGCTGCCCTCCCTACTCCAGACATTTTTTTTTTTCCACTCTGCCTCAGTATTCAGTTATTTTCCACTCTTAGGCCTCCCCCTTCTCTTCCCTTCTGGTCCTTGAGTCTTCAAAATGTCTTGGGCCCCCTTGTCAGTGAAAGGATCCTTGCATATGTGCTGATCCATCTAACACGGTTCCATAGGGAAGAATAGAACCCTGTGGGAGCCTGCACTGCCTCCTGGGAGCCTCCTGCTTAGACTGTTGTAGTATGTAACTCAAGGACTGGCTGTTACTTTCGTTTTGACATATCTTGATGGACCACTCTGACATCTGGCAATTTGGCCTTCTCCCGTTCAGTTCAGCTCTTGATGGTGGTGAAGGGGTTCAGGACAGGTCCCCCAGAATATGCTACTTTGGCATGTGGATTATTTTGAGCCAAAGGCATTTGAGACCCTATGGGCTCAAGAGAAACTTTTTTCTCTCCCTTAACCACACAGAAGAATCTAAATTGGGGGTCTGGCAGAATAAGGGCTATTATCTGTATCATAGGGCAAACACTTAATTACCAAACATCTGTTCTTCTTTTCGCCCTATGAAATGTGCTCCTTTCCTCTGAAATCCCAGACCTCTCTTTCCTTCTTCTTATTTCAGAATGGCATATATATCTAATTTTGCCTGATTGTCTTTGGAATTTCCACGTCGGTGTGGATTCCCCATAGGTACACCTATTGAATTTGACTTTCTCCTATTAATCTGTCTCGTGTCAATTTGATTCTTAGTCCAGCTGGAAGGACCTCTGAGGGGCAGGAATTCCTGTTTTTAGTCAGGGGGTAAATTTTTCTAACTCTGGGTATCTGTATTAAGAAGGCTACTTGCCTGCATATGTATGACATTCCTAGTAATAATCTGAATTTGTCTTACGTTTCTTTCTTCTTTGGTTTAGAACTCAAGTGAGGAAAAGAGGAGTATTATACATTGACCTCCTCAAAACCCTAACATCTGCTGCACTGGGCTGAAATCTTGAACAATAAACAAGAGTGAAATTTAGGAAACAAAATGGTAACTTGAATATTAAGTTTTTGTTGGGCTGGGTACATAGGGTCAAATTCTGGCAATTTGTAGCAGCTTATATTGTGCATTACAGCTGGATTTTACTGTAGTATAATAACTAGCTTTTAACTGGTAAGGCCTGGACCAACACTTTTTGGGCTTTGGTCCCATGTGATTTTTGACTTCTCTGTATCATTTCAGCTTTTGGAAGCTTTGACCACAATCAAGGGGTTGCTTTAATCTTGCTTGCATTGACCGTAAGCAAGAATGTCCAGGCCTCAGCAAAATCATGGTGTGCTGGGAGTTGACGAAGGCCATGGAGGAACAGGTTGGAAATAAAGCGATGCCTGTACTCCCACCACTTGAGAAAAAGCAGTGGCAGAATAAAATGGTACTGAGAGCTTGGGATATACAAAAGCTGAGGAAAATAAAGGTTTTAATCTGAAGATAGGAGTCACATAACCTGTTACCAGCTTTGTCAATAATAAATTGGCTTATTTTTTCTTCATCCGTCTTACCTTTTCGCTCTCTCTTTTTTTTTTTAAAGTTAAAAATTCCTTAATTTTTTAATTCCTGGTACCACTGCCACAATTGACAGGGCAATAAACCCCATGTAATGAAAACGAAAAAGACAAAGCTACAACAGGTAAAAGACCTCAGGAATGTGCATGTCACGGACAGCACAGCACAGTAATCAGCAGCTGCACTTTCCGCAAACTGTGGCTACGACAGTCCGGAACAAGAAGGGGTTCCAGTACCTTCCCTGACTATGGATCATCGTTCCTTCTCTGGCAGATTTTTACAGTTCCCCTAACGCATTTGGGAAGACTTTCTCAAAGTAACCTGCAGCTTTCCTGACAACTCTCCTCGCTCTCTCTCCTGTTAAGAACTGTAGCCCTTTTCTTCCGAAAGATTGTTAGAACCTTCTGCTACCATATCCACCTCCTCACCACCAGATCCATAACCACCACTGTAGGGACTGCCCGAGCTTCTTCTGCCAAAACAGCCCCCCTTCATGGGTCCAAAATTTGATTGCTGTTGTCCACTGTAATTTCCACAATCATTGTAGTTCCCGCCACCACCATAGTTGCCACCTCCAGAATTTCCTCCTTCATTGTGACCATCATAGCCTCCACCACCACCTCCATATCCGCCTCCTTGGTTTCCATATCCTGGTCCTCCACCACCACCGCCATATCCGCCTCCTTGGTTTCCATATCCTGGTCCTCCACCACCACCGCCATATCCGCCTCCTTGGTTTCCATATCCTGGTCCTCCACCACCACCTCCATATCCGCCTCCTTGGTTTCCATATCCTGGTCCTCCACCACCATCGCCTCCTCTACTGCTATAACCAGGACCACGACCATAGCTGCCACCATCACCTCCAAATCCCTTATATCCACCATCACCTCCTCCCTAACTACCTCTGCTGCCTCCACCTCCGCCATAGCCTCGTCTTCCACCGAAGTTTCCACCACCTCCAAAGTCTCCTCCACGGCCTCTTCGCGATCCAGCCGATACATTTCTTGTTCAGAAAGGGCCTTTTTTCACTTCGCAGTTATGCCCATTAATACTGTAGTATTTCCAAACAACAGTTTTATCGACTGTATCATGATCATTAAAAATTACAAAAGCAAATCCTCTCTTTTTTCCACTCTGCCTGTCTTCCATAACTTCTACGGTTTCAATCCTGCCATGCTTTTCAAAGTAGTCTCTCAAATTAAATTCTTCTGTGTTTTCTTTAATACTACCAACGAAAATTTTCTTCACTGTTCGATGGGCATCAGGCTTGACAGAACCCTCTCTAGAAACAGCTCTTTGGTTCCACTACATGCCCCTCAACCTTGTGTGGTTGGGCACACATTGCTGCAGCCACCTCTTCAACACAAGAGTAAGTCACAAAACCAAAACCCCTGGAACGTTTTGCTTGGGGGGTCTCTCATCACCACACAATCTGTAAGTGTGCCCCATTTTTCAAAATGTTCTCTTAAACTATCATCTGTAGTTTCAGAGCTCAAGCCACCAACTAGCAGTTTTCTCAACTGCTCTGGTTCCTTTGGATTGTGGCCTTCCTGCCCCTCGGTAGGGTTCTTAAATGTAAGAACTGTATTGACATTTATCTAAATAGAAGTTATGTGTAACTTAACTGCATAGGAAGGAAGCTCATCAGAATTAAAAATAGCCAAATAGAGCTGAAATTGAATATGACCAAATCACACATACCAAAAGACAAAATGAACAAAATTCCAAGAAGGGCATTTAAAGAAAGGCTCAAACTAAGAAAAGGCATAGTGCTTCATTCATTATGTAGTAGTCACAGACATTAAAGATGAATAAATAAATATGGTACAATTTAATGGAGAGCATCACAATGGTACCTTGCCATTAGAATGTCCTACTTCTTTTTTTTCAGTGTTGAAACCTTGCTTGCTTTACTTGGTGAATTTCACAGGATTTTGTTAAATGATGTTGCAGGTATCCTTAAATTTCTATAATACAACAGAAAATCTGGTTGACATCCAGCTTATTAGGCAACATAAAAGTAAAAGTTAAATGAAAAGATTGAAATAAGTAGAACAGTATTTGTTATTATCTGGCACTGTTGATATTATAAAGTAACACAGAACACATTACTATAGAAAGAAAAAAACAGGTAAGATTTTTCTTAAGTAGAGAGTACTTATGTTTCCTAACCAAGTCTATAACATGATTTCAGTAGTTTAGGTTGACTTCCTTTAAGACTGCCTTTCAATTTTATTGAAATACAGAATTACATAATTTTATTTATATATAATTGAATATAAATTATATAATTTCTGTGTAAATTCTTCTCTGAGCTTTTAGTGATGCTGAGATATACACAGTTTATGATGATTTTTAATACTTTAAGACATTAAAAACCATGCTAGATTGGGGTGCCTGGGTGGCTCAGTCGTTAAGCGTCTACCTTTGGCTCAGGGCATGATCCCGGGGTCCTGGGATTGAGCCCCGCATCGGGCTCCCTGCTTGGCAGGGAGCCTGCTTCTCCCTCTCCCACTCCCCCTGCTTGTGTTCCCTCTCTTGCTGTGTCTCTTTCTGTCAAATAAATAAATAAATATCTAAAAAAAACCCCCATGCTATATTAAAATTATGAAATCTGAATGAAGGGGGGGAAATCGGAGGGGGGAGATGAACCATGAGAAACGATGGACTCTGAAAAACAAACTGAGGGTTCTAGAAGGGTGGGGGGTGGGAGGATGGGTTAGCCTGGTGATAGGTATTAAAGAGGGCACGTTCTGCATGGAGCACTGGGTGTTATGCACAAACAATGAATCATGGAACACTACATCAAAAACAAATGATGTAATGTATGGTGATTAACATAACAATAAAAAAATTAAAAAAATAAAATAAAATTATGAAATCTGATGTGAAAACAGGGATGATTTTCTTGTTTTTACAGCAGTCAAAATTTGTCAATACCTTTTGGAATTCAGTTTCTGGTACTGCAGCATTTTTTATTAAAGTCCAATAATTATTTGGATTATTTGATTTATTATAATATACTCACTTAGACGTAACTCATTATCTCTGCCTCTCACTTCTCTCCACCTATCCTGTATATCCTACAGTGTTTCTGTATTGATTGCTGGGATGCCATTCAACCAGTCAAGTAATTCATACACTTGGAATCATTCTTCAGGTTTTCTTTCCCTTACCTGCTATATTCAATTGGCCAAGCTATTTTGTAGATATTTCCCATTAAATATTTCTTATTTTTTCTCACATTTTTCTACAGCCATTATCTGTAATTATGTCATTATATTTTATCTAGATTACAGAAAGGAATTACCATTATTCTCACTTCTTTGTCTGCCTCCTGTATTCATCCTAATCTATCCTACTCCCTCACTGTTGGCAGAGCGATCTTTCTAAAATATAAAGGATCATATTAATCTTCTGATTGAAGCCACTGGTAGGTCCTTTTTGCTAATAATATGAAGTTACATTTATTAGCTTAGCATAAAACAGTCTCCAAAAACTAGTATTTATCTGCAATTCCAGTCCCATTCATCCTTTTTCTCTCCCTCATATCCTGTTCTTCATGTATAGAAAGCCATGTTTAGGTCCCAGAAAATATACTCATGCCTTTGTTCATGTTATATTAGACTGGACTTCTTTTCTTCCTCTGATTGACCTCAATTCCATTTGTCCTTTAAGATCTATATTAACTTTTTTCTCTTCTTTGAAGACTTGCCCTGTCTTCCTAGCCAATGTCAGATGGTTTATAGTATTTGCCATACCCGCTTAGCTTGATTTTTTTGAATTCCATCTCTCCTGAGTTCTACTGGCTTATGGTTTATTTATATCTCTTGTCTTGCCATATTATCTCCAAATTCTTCTATCTCTGCTTTGGTCTTTTGGTTTATAGATTTATTTTGTGTATTAGTTTCTATTTTAATGACTATATTATGGGCTTAGTTTTTATTTACTGTGTGAAGAGATTTTTTCTGGCTGATGTTTTTTATGTGCCATCTGCCTTTCCTGTTTTCTTTTTCCTTTTGTCATTGGGACATCTTACATTCCCTTTGGTTTCTTTGTGATTATTTACCTTTCTGTAAGATGAGTTCTTCTTGGACGGAGATGTTTATATTGAGAAGGGGGTAAAGTTTAATTTCTGGCTGGTGAGAATTGTCTGTGACACATATTGTGTGTGTGTGTGTGTGTGTGTGTGTGTGAGTGTGTGTGTGTAAGAGAGAGAGAGAAAGGGATAGAGAGAGGGAAATATCTTTTAGGCTTCACTCCTCCCCATGCAACAGAGCTTGGAGGCCATAGGGTAGTCTTCACCATGCCTCACTTATAGACTTTTCTCTGAAAATCTAGCCTGTCTGTCAAGTGATTTTCATTGTTCTAAACAAGGGGTTATTTGGCATTAGGTGTGTGCCACTTTCTTCCGAGCAAGTTGCTTTACTGCACTGTCTGATGTCAACGGCAATGGGCATCCTCTCTTAATGTCTTGTGACATTTCTTTTTGACCTTGATTGCTATTGTAGTCCAGGAATGTAGATATCTCTTAATTTCATAGAAGATGGTATTTGGATTTTTCATCCTTGTTCTTCCAATCAGTTTTAAGTTATTTCTGAGAAGGGAAGTGGGTGATGCCATCTTTCTCTGTAATATTAAAATAAAAGTGAATTCACTGTACTAAAAATATTAATTTCAAATGGATTTCATTTTACAGACTGAGCATCTTGAGGATAGGAAACTTTATATAATATGATATTATTTATATATATATATATATATATATATTTTGAGCCTCATTGCACGGTCTAAATCTTGCTACCTTGCAGAGTTTAATGCACACTAACTGATGAATGAGTTTAGACAAGTCAAAAGGAT